CTGATCTGCCCTTTGGAAACTGCATGGGAGTAAAAGACCAGTTGATTCCGAATCCAGTAAACAAATGCAGACAAGCAGAGCTGTGTAGGATGGAGACTATGACCCAGGGTTACCTGACCGCACAATCTGCCTCTTCCTGGACATCCATCTGCATCTGATCCATGTAGCTCTTGGGACAGGGGACAACTTCTGCTTTTCCCACCAGTCACCTCTGTGTGATCCAATACCTGCAGATTGGACTTGTAGCGTCCTTCTTTGCTGTGGGCTTTTGTGTTGATAATGCCAATGCAGCAGCAGAGATACTAAGATCAGAGGTGCCTGCAGATACATAAAAGCCAGCACCTAGAGCTTCAGCACATTTATAATAGGTTATCATGTGCGAGATGACATATCTGGTGCTTCTTTGCTTGGGACCTCGTCTCCCATCCTGCCTGCAGTTTTAGTAGCCATGTAGCATTCTGACATTTCATCTTTATTAACTTCTTCACAGATAGCCATTTGGGGTTTACTGGGAGATTAATTGTTTTCAAGAAGCTTTTAGACTGTTAGCAGGGTTTATCTTTTTTTTTTTTCCCACCCCTTCAAACAGATGACTCTAATAAAGCACTGTGAGATGTATTAAAATGCTCCAAGAATGCCAGTTTTTCTGCTTCTTGCAGCCCAGAGCTGAGAGCAACAAGGGAGGGACCCATTTTTTGAAGAGGGCACCAGCTGCAGCTATCATTGCAGTCAGTTTAGTTAGATCTTCCCCATGGCATTTTTCCAGGAGAAAAAAGAGCACACAAGCCTGGCTATTTTTTTCTATATTCAATGCATGTGATTAGGGGTATTTATAAAAACTGTGCAGAAAACAGCATCTCAGGAAAAGGAAAAGTACAGGCAGATGTACTGAAGGAAAGAAGAAATTAACAGACTTTGATGTCAGCAAAAGTGCCTGATTAAGGATTTAAACACCAGAATTTTATAATTTTGCTGTGTTGTGGGTTTCTAAAGCACAATTCAGCGATGGCTTTTGAGGTCTGTTGGAAGCTATTCTGTAAATGACTGTATGTGTAGTGCCATCTGAAAATACTGGTAACGTTGGCACTGTTTTTGGGGTGGAAAGAAGGAAACAGCAAAAATGTTAAAACAAAGTAAGGCGGCTCAACTCAAAGCAGCCCACTCAAACCTTCCCATTCCCTCCTTTGAAATGTGATTTCAGCATTTTCATTGCACTGTCCGTAAGTTTCCATCACTGATTTGTTCATTTTTTTATGTCTTCCAACCAAACCAAAAGGTAAGCATTTAAAAAAACATTTTCCTATTTACTATAAAACCAGTAGTGAATCAGTCATTTTCTAAGTAATTCAAGGCCAGCAATTTTTCATTAGTGTAGGAACGTAAATTTCCCTTGTGCTTCACTGCAGAATTAGATTTGCCCAGAATACAGAATGGGACTTGGAGCTTTTTACTGTTAATCTGAGATTTCAAATGCAGGTTGGTAGAATCCAAAGTGCGGTGATTATATCCTTGTTCAGTAGCCTCTAATGTGTTTTGGAAACTGCCCAGAGTATAATGAAAAGGATACATGTCCTCTAGGAGAAAAGGAGACATAGTTCTCTCAATTTAGTTGTGTTTATTTGAGACTATAAAGGGAGTCCTCGGTAGCATCCCCACTGTACCCATAACATGGTTGGAGTGCTTAGTGCTACAATCTTGCATCCTGGAGCTAACAAACATTGTAAATTAGGGGCAGTGTCTTTTGGTATATGTATGTGTAGTGCCTACAGAAGGGGGGCAAAGGAGAATGAGATTCCCCATTAGCTCTGATCACAGAAATATATAAATATAATTTCACTGGGGGGAGGGTGACACTAACATCCAAACACTGGGGCATGAAAATGTGCCAGTTTTTTCCAGGTATTTAATTATTTTTAAAACACACAAATGTGATGAATACACCTAAATATTCATTGCCTAATGTGCCTTTGACTTTAAAAGCAGAGTGCATAAATTCCTCATATTACCTGATAGCTTCCATTAGCTCTCTATTTGTAATCTGCACCTTCTGCTAACAAGGACAGAACTCATTAGAACTCGCCCTTTAGAGGAAGCCACGCGAAAAATTCCTAGATTTTTATGCTACAGAAGGTGAAAATGTTACCAGCTGAACAGTTCTTCCCAGCAGTGCTTCACTAGTCTCACCATGTAATCAAAGATTTATTGTAAGTCATTGAACACTATTATTACCCATCCAAGAGTCTTTGCTTTTCAGTCCCTCACTCACCCAAAGACATCCTTGCTGAGGAAAAGTGCAGAGTCAGCAGGAAAGGTGGATAATATGAATAATTAAAATGGAGGTTGAGTTCCCCTTTGCTTCTGAAGAGAAATGGTTTGCACAAAAATAGAGATGGGGCATCAGAGATGCTCCAGAAGGGTGACTGCATTGTCTGTGGCATTTATGCTCTCTGGGGGGATTGTTCAGGGCAGGGGTATTTAAATATTTGATTTAGAACAGCAACCTAACATAATAATACTATAATATTATTTCCAAATAATATTATTTGGAAGCACTCTGCTGTGGATAATGCTAAAGTGGTATGTCTGGCAAGGGCAGAAACTGCTAACAAGTAGCAGTTAATTAATGAATGGAGATCTGCAGTGCGCACATGTGTATTATCTGCTGGCAAAGTATATATTGCACAGAATATTATCTCCGTAACAAAGACAAGCACTCAGAAATGAGAAAATTAGAAAGTTAGGGTTAGCTTTGATTTTTAATATAGTTGGGTCATTAAATACTATCAAGTGACATCTTTTCATAGCTTCTGCCTTCAGTGTTAAGGATGGACAGTGCTTGTCTGCTCATTACTTTGTTTTCTTCTACTGTTTAAGCTTTTTTACTTATTTTTTGCACATCAGGCAAATCCTTTTTTGAAGAGGGGATTATAAGTTTCCTCATGACACTAACTACCCCAGCATCATATTTTGCAGAGATTATCATATTTATTTTCATAAGCCACTGGGAGCTAAGGAACCTGTTATCATCCTCCTTTTAGAGATGCAGCCTGGAGGCACAGAGATAACAAAAATCTTATTTTAGGTGCTTAAACTGAGAGAAATTTCAGAGAACCTGACTTCTCAGAGTGCAGAGTTATAAAACACACAAAGAATGACCACTTTGCACCAAGGGCTCAGCGTATCTATAAATTGGATCACTGTGTCAGTCTCCAGCAAATGAGGAACTGAAATTACCGGACAACTGTGAAATGTTAGGTTGAAAAATACTTAATTAATATAATGTTTGACTATATCATTGGCAAGAATAGAGTCCAGTTCTCCAATGCAGCATTCTTCTGCCTTAACTTCTTGATCTTGTCACTTTCTGTAACCTTCACAGACCCTCTGCAAAGGCTCAGGTGAGGAAGATGCATAGAGCTACGCTAGCGGGACACGGGGGCATTGGGTGCTCTGTACAGTAGATGGGCAGATTGTGGCTGTCAGTCTAGATAAAAAAATCATTAATCTTCAGTGTATGTATATTCTTCATGCACTGAATGTTGTTCTTCATGCTATAAATGACCGGTGATACCACTAAAGAGTCAAAATTCCAAGGACCAAACCTCAGGATAGCATCCATGCAGTGTTCTGATGGTGTGATCTCAAACGTCCTGCATTATTCCCACATGGCAATATAAATCAGGGCTACCCCAGCCAACAACCAGGATGGGTGTGACACTCAGCGGGAACCTGCAGCCCATGTCACTTTCATTATGAAAGTGACTGGCAATCACCAGAGAGCCATGGTCAGTTGAAGATGATTGTGGAATATCTGCACCTCTGTTTTTGAACAGACAGCTCAGAATTAGCATTAAAAATGCATTTAGTTTTCATCACTAATGCCATCGTTCTGGTTATGCATCACCCGTGGGTGAGGAGCAGGTCACCTTGCACTTGTAGTGGAAGGCTGGGGCAGCACAACCCTTCGCTGCATGCTTATGTTTCCCTACCCAGCAACTGTGGGCAGGGACAAGGGATGTTTTCCAATCCCATCCCATCCCCATCTCCATCCTCATCCCACCCAATCCCATCCCATCCTCATTCCATCCCATTCCATCCCAACCCATCCCATCCCATCATACTCCATCCCCACCCCAATCAATCCCATTCCATCCTCATCCTGACCCACCATCCCATCCTGACCCATCCCAACCCATCCTGTCCTGTCCCATCCCACCCCATCTCACTCCATCCCCACCCCACCCAATCCCATCCCAGTTCCATCCCATCCTATCCCTTCCCAACCCATCCCATCCCATCATACTCCATCCCCACCCCAACCAATCCCATTCCATCCTCATCCCGACCCACCATCCCATCCCGACCCATCCCGACCCATCCCAACCCATCCTGTCCTGTCCCATCCCACCCCATCTCACTCCATCCCCACCCCACCCAATGCCATCCCTGTCTCGTCCTATCCTATCCCTTCCCAACCCATCCCATCCCGTCTCATCCCGTCTCACTCCATCCCCACCCCACCCAATTCTAACCCATCCTCATCCCCGATCCATCCCATCCAGTGTAGTCCAGTCCAGTCCCACTCCATCCCCACCCCACCCAGTTCTAACCCATCCTCACCCCCATCTTGTCTCATCCCATCCCGTCTCGTCTCGTCTCGTCTCGTCTCGTCCCATCCCATCCCATCCCATCCCATCCCATCCCATCCCATCCCATCCCATCCCATCCCGTCCCGTCCCGTCCCGTCCCGTCCCGTCTTGTCCCGTCCCATCCCATCCCATCCCATCCCATCCCATCCCATCCCACCCCATCCCATCCCCACCCCATCCCCACCCCAACCCGTTCCGTCCCGTCCTGTCCTGTCCTTCTCCATCCCCATTTCACTGAATCCCACCCCATTCGATTCCCATGACCACTCCCATCCCTATCCCCGCCTTCACCGCGGCTGGCCCACCCAGCTGCCGGAGGCCCCGCCCTCGCCCCGCCCCGCCGGGTGTGGTGCCGCTCTAGTCTCCCGTCTCTGTTGCCGGCGCCGCTCTACCCCTCTCGTTAGCCTCACCTGCTCCCAGTGCCCGGTGCCGGGCGGAAGTGAGCGGCGCGGTCATGGCGGCTGTGGACATCCGAGGTAGGGCCGAGCCGGGCCGGGCCGTGCTGGGCCGTGCTCTGGCGCTTGGGGCTCCCGGGACGCCGCGCTGCTTGCTGGGCGGGCATCCCCTGCTCCGGCACCTCCGTGTCGAGCCGTGCGCCCTGCCCGGCGGCCGGGGCTGCTTTCCGGCCAGAAGGGGTGTGCTTCCTCCGCGGGCAGGGCTGGCGGGCCCTGGGGTGATTGGAGCTTGCTGTGCTATCGGCGTTCGCTCCCACGAGACTCCCAGTTACAGGATGGTGCGATGTGGCCAGAGGTGTGAGGATAACAGAGCTGCTGCCTTAGTGTTCTGTAGGGCAGCGGAGCTACTGAGTTGTTTGTCTTTGGAAGCTCTGCACAAGCGGTTTAGTAGCGTTGGGAATGTATCTGTATCCCGGTAAGGGGTTGGGATCAAAACCTGTCCAAAAAGCAGTTTTTGTCATGGACTGGGAGGGGATGTGTGTGAAAGCAAGCATCCCTTCTGCTACGCCGCTTCCTCTTCAGGTGGAATGAGAAGGTGACATGAGTGAACTGTCAAAAAAGAGTTTAGTTCTGGAGTGTGAAGGGAAGTGGGAAACACTTATGTGTGGGGACCTGGACAGGACCAAAGCAGTGAGTTAGGCTGGTGATTTTAACTGGGTTTTGGGTGGATGAGATGAGCCAGGGCAGGTGTTAGGAAAGTCAGAAAGAAGGCTGAAGTAACTGAGAACAAGAAAGGTTTGGGTAAGAATTCAGGGATATTAATGGGATGTTTTGAAGAAGCAGTGGTACTTGAATGAAGTATTAAAGAAAATTTATGCTGTAACAAAATACAGCTTAAATTACTGTGAAGAGTTAGAACTTTGTGGGTGAAAAAGGGGGTTGAGAGGGCATGGCAAAGGAAATTATTGTTCTCCGAAAGGGTGTCTGAATGGGATCATACTGAGAATCTCTGTTGTGGAGTCTCAGGGAACGGCCAAGAGCAGGTATGCAGGGAATCTTACGAGGGTTTAATTTCGATCATGTCATAGAAATTTCTCCTTTTTTTCTTCAAAATCTTACAGCCCTGTTTGCTTTTCTGACTGCCTTGTTTGAGATACAGCAAGGACAGTATTGTCACAAGCACTTTTGCATCTCTGATGCAGGAACACCATCCGTTCTTTCTTATACCCAAAATAAAGAGAAGTGCTCCCTTCTTGGTGGGAAGGAGTGTCAGGTTCAAGGGTGGTTTTGTTCTTCCTCCCCTTTTTTCTAAGAATAGTGTAAGAGAACAATCTTACTTGTTATAAAGGCAATTATATATACTGGCACTAAGTAACTATGGATAATTGAGCCTTTGAGCCCAGCTTTATATTCCTTTTTATAATACACTTAACAGTTTATATGCAGTATTATAGCAATAATAAAATAAAAACAATAAAGCCTGGCTGACATCCCTCTTGAGAAATGCAGTTATTGTGAAACACACAGGCAAGAAAAGTTTGTATTTGAAATGCAGTATGAACATCTATTGTGGCAAGAATGCAAGCACTTCAGGTTGTGGAGTTTGTTGGGAAGGAAAGCTTGTCTTATGGTCCTGAAAAGCATTTAGGATAATCAGCACTAACACAGTCTATGTACTTAATAGTGAATCTCAGTGCTGTGATTCTGAGATTTCCTTTTTTATAGTGAGGAGAGACAATAGTGTATGTGAAGTAACGTGAATGGCTCTAGATTCTTGTTCTGTGAAAGATGCTGGCAATTCTGAGGTTAACAAGGCAAAAATGATTTATGTGTGACTGTGCTGCATTTTCCTTTTGCTAGGCAGCTAGTGTTACTTTATTAACTGTTCCTCAGAGAAGCTACTAATAGTGTATGAGCTGGCATTTTTGGAACTGATCCACTCATCCTTGAGCATGCTGACTTGTCACAGAAGTAAAAAAAAATTCAGTGAAATGCTAAGTGGGAATTCTGGGTACATGTATAATGCCTGAACATATAATGTGTTCCTGCAAGAAGGGAATTTCAGTTCAGTCATTAATCACTTCTCACCAGATACGTTTTTAATTCTAAGCCTTTGTTTCCTGCTTTCTTGTGTCTTGGAAATTCTGTTTACTGCTGCAGCAATTGAAAATGGTTGAATTTCAGAGTGCTTTTCAAGGTGATTTGTGGATCTTCAATGTTAGTAGATTGTTGACCGTGGAACCCATTGCTGATGCTGGTTTCTTTGGTCTCTCCAGGAACATGATTTTGCTGCAGTATGATAGTAAAATCCAGGGATTTTAATTCACATGTCCCCAAACCTGTAGGAACTTAACCAGCATATAATGATTTAACCTTTATAGAATATGTTTCATTCAAAAAGCTTGCCTTTTTTATGCAGTTGTTTTTACTCTGTAATTAGATTTCTGTAATACCACTGAGTTATGGAATAAGCAATTTGCTGCAGGCAGTTTGGCAGATTAACTGTAGTCAGGAATAAATATCTTGTTCCAGATTACTGGAAAACATCTGCCCAAAGATAGCAACTTTGTCTGCTGTTTTGGGGTTTTTTTTTGTTTATTATAGACTTCACCCACATAAAAAAAATAGCATATTTGAAACATAACAGTATCAGCTGCTGTCATATCATAGTGATGTACGTTTTAATAACAACACCTTAGAAATGTTACCAATGCCACTATTTTGTTTCACTGAGTAGTTTGCTCATTTACTTTAGCAAAAGAAAACTCTCTGTTTAATTAATAGATCTCTGCAGTGTTTTACTTATTTTGCAGCATCCTTTTTTACAGCTTTGAAACTATTTTTTCTCAGAAATAAATTGTTCTAAATATGACCAGGATCAGGTTGGTCGCATTAGTGGGGTAGGCTCAACCTACACTCCCCCCCAGCTGGTTCTAATTCAGCTTAACAAATTCAACTTACTTACCAGAGACCTAGCTTTGGAAAGGAACCATGCTTTGGATTGTCTTCTGACTCAGCTAATGCCATGTTTCATAGAATAAACTGCATATAATATTACTGAGTAGATGTAGCATGATACTATTGTATGCAGTATCAGAGCTAAATGACTCCCACCAACACAGCGTGCACATATGTGCACACAGACCCTCCTCATGTTCTTGAGACATAAAGGTACACCAGCAACAAGTGGTGAAGGAAAGAAAGGTGCAGTAATTAAGAAAAGACTGTATTTCTGTTGTTTATCTACAGGAGATCTGCAGAAGGTTAAAGGATAGCAGTTATTATTTCAGCTCACTGAAACAACATTTTTGATTAGAACTGGTTTGTGTGAGACTGTGTTGCACCTCCTTCCGCTGCTGTAATCAATAACTGGTAGCAATTTACTCCTGGAGGTATTTGTAGTGCTTCTGGCTGCTTTGGTACTCAATGTATGTTTCTCTTCTCAGATAATCTTTTGGGAATTTCCTGGGTTGACAGCTCCTGGATTCCAATATTAAACAATGGGAGTGTGTTGGACTATTTCTCAGAGCGAAGTAACCCATTCTATGACCGAACATGTAACAATGAAGTTGTCAAGATGCAGCGGATGACATTGGAACATTTGAAGTAAGTTGTCATTTAGAACTGCTTCCTGTACAGCATTCTTTGTCCCTCCATCCAGAGACTTTGATGATTGAACGGAAGCATGCTGGGAGCCTCTTCCGTTCTGTGCTTTTTAGTCCTACCCCTTGCTAGGGAGCCCAGCTTTTTTTTGTATTTGGATGTCTTCTACTTCCGCATATGCCATTTGAAGGAGGTGTTAAGCAGGAAGCAATTTATGCGTGTTCTGAGATTCCAGTAAATTGCCTTTTAGATGTTTGAATTAGAAAAGCTGTCTTCTCTCATCCTTCCAGCTCAACAGAACCTGAGTAGCATTAATATAGTTAAAAATGTTTTTCTATGGTGAATAGGGTTTATGATAGGGGATACTTTGAATTCAGAAGTAGTTGTGTTTCTATATCCTGCTAGCTATGTGCCATACTTAATTTCCTTCAAAGAGCTAGCTTTTTAGTATAGATAACAAAAGTAGTGAGTGTTGTAAATAAACTGATCACAGATGGTTTTGTAATGAGATTACAGCATGTACAAGTTAACTTTCTTTGCAGTTCCCCATCTGCTACACTGAGCACAAGTGAGATGTTTGAGAACTATTTAAAGGCTCCACAGTATGATAGGGAGTGTGCAAACTGAGCTAAAAGTTTGTTGGTAAAGGCATTTGTGCTCAGATGTGGTTGTAGAAGGGTTTTCATGTCAGGCACACATGTTCACATCATATGCCGGTCCTTTGTTTTTAAATGACATGTCTGTGATGACAGATTGTTATCTTTCTTGCTATTTATTTGTTTGCTAACATGTTCTACTTAGATATTTTGTTAAGTTGTACTGACTCTTCGTATTTGCAGCTAGGTTTTGATAGCTACCTCAGAAAATTCTATGCCTTTATTTACTGCACATTATATAGAATTGCTTCTAGAGCATCAGAACTTCATCCCTTTACCGTCAGGCCCTTTGGTAGCTCTTCACATTCTACAGATTTTGCTTTGAGGAAGGTAGTTATTCTGGTTGCTTCTTTTTCAGCCAGATGGTTGGAGTGGAGTACATTCTTCTTCATGCTCAAGAACCCATTCTCTTCATTATCCGAAAGCAGCAAAGGCAGTCTCCTACACAAGGTAAGGTCTCAATTCTGGTCACCACTGAGAAGGCTGGTCAGTTAGTCACTTTTGTCTGTTCCTTATTGGTGTTTAACCACTGCTGTCTCTATCTTAAATCTGAATAAAAGGGTATGAGGATTTCTGGTGGAGATACTTTGTCTAGCAGAGTGACCTCTAGTGCGCTTATAGCAGGGATTGCCACCTGGTGGTGAAATATGAAGAGTGCAATGAGAAATTGCTGCCCTGTGGTATGTTTTGCCATGGAAAATGGATAATAGCATCACACCATAGCGTATTTATCTGTTAGGCTGTGCAAAAGCTTTCATTTTAATTATTTGAATATAAAGCTAACTATATCTTTGTGTGGGGCTGATGAGCTTAGTTCAGTTTTAGCTAATCATCTGCAGAGGCTAGTATGTGATTTATGATTCTTCAAAACACAGTATTATTAGGTTGGGAGAGGGATCTTTCATGCTTCTGTGTGTGTCGTATCACTTTCTTATTCTGCACTATTTCCACCTTTAACTGTGGGTTTGTTACACTGCTAATTAGGTTCTTGCAGTAAAAGAGGGTTTTTTTTTCCCCCCTTTATCAGTCTGTGGCTAAGGTACAAATAAAGCACCTTGAAGGAAAAGGTTATGAATAGAAAATCTGGTCATGAATATTGTGATTTCTGCTGTTAAAACTGAAATTCAGCAACAAATACCCTGTCTTCAGCCACAGCTTTTAAATTGATCCTCTCTGTTCTTTTTTTTTATTTTTTCCTCCCCACAGTTATTCCACTGGCCGACTACTATATTATTGCTGGAGTGATTTATCAGGCACCTGACTTAGGGTCTGTTATTAATTCCAGAGTTGTAAGTGTTTCGTGCATTTGATGGATACTGGTTTGTATCTGCTTTTACTTCTGGGTGTTCCTCAGGCTGTTTAAATCCTTCCTTTGCTGTTTTGAGGAAAGATCTTGTGTAGTACACAGTAACATAAAACAACCCCACCAGTGAATATGGTGTACATCCCACCTGGAAATGAAAGATCTTGCAAGCATGCAGTATGGTCCAGAAATTAGGATATGCTGTTTAAGGATGAAGGATCAGAATTAACTGAAGCTACACAATTAGCACACCAGCATAAAGTTTGAATAATCAAAAGAAAAATTACATCACAAGTGCATGTGAAATAGTAATTAAATACACAGTGAAGCTTGCTTTGGAATGTCACTGTTAAGGGAATGTAATATTTCTCTTTAAGTGAGGCTTATGTTTTTAAGTTGATGTGGTATTTCTGTTTAAATTGGGCACTTATGTTTTGATTTTTTATTTTTTCTGTTCTAGTAGGCAACTGCTTTTGTAAGTTTTTCTTCTTGTCAGTTTAGAAAAGCACTTCAGAAAATGTCATGTAAGAGCCTATTGAAGAGATTACATTCTTGGTCCAAAAGTCCCAAGTTCCCTTCCCAGAACAAAAATAAATACAGAATATTAATTTTAAAATCGGTTCTTTCAAAATTTTATACGGTATTTTTTCCTTAAACTCTGAACACTGCCTTATGTTCTTGTTCTGAAAGCTCACTGCAGTGCATGGAATTCAGTCTGCTTTTGAAGAAGCCATGTCCTACTGTCGCTATCACCCATCCAAGGGCTACTGGTGGCATTTCAAAGACCAAGAAGAACGAGGTATGAATCCTAGTTGTTCCTGTGTACTTTGGTGGGGAAAGGTAATGCAGAAAACCTTGAGGCAATGCAAAGTGATGGTGTAGAGATAAGGTCAAGTGTCTGTCTGACTAAGTTAGTGCTCCCAGTCAGGAATCTTGCTCTTCTGTGCTGGTGGGAATGAACATCGAGACATGGGTGGGAGATGAAAATTGTGAGCTGTATGTCAACAGAGTGGGGAAATCTTCAACCCACTGGAGACCAAATTACATCTTCAGAAGCCAGATCAGTTTATTAGGAAGTAAGGACTGTCCTTAATGTGTCTTCCACAAAAAAAACCCAAACTGATGTCAAGGGGAATACATAGGTGAATTTTAGAGGAGGGATGAATACCAGCTTGTCATACAACAAAGTGGACAGAACTTCTAATACAGCTTTCTCCTGCATTTCTGTGACTTGTAGAGAAAGCTAAACCAAAAGCCAAGAAGAAAGAAGAACCAAGTTCTATTTTCCAAAGGCAACGGGTAGATGCTTTGCTTTTAGACCTAAGACAAAAGTTTCCACCCAAATTTGTTCAGGTATGGTGCTTGCAAGCCATAGTATTTCTGTAACTTAGAATGTAAGGCAGTCAGAAGCACTTGAACAGCTGAAACTGAATGGGAATTCTGTGTGCTTTCTGCAATGGTAGCATGAGTTACATAATAAATTTGAAATGGAAGGCTCTGACCTTCCCTTTCAAATGGTGTAGGATTCCCCTTTGTAATTGCAGGAGTCATTTAAGACCTTGGCAAAACTGTGAGGGTGAATTTTCTTATACAAATTCCTTACCTAATCACAGAGGGTCCGTTCTTGTCAGGTATCGGGTTTTGCTACTGCTTCCAGTTTTGTTGCTTTATGAGCTAAATCGAGCAACCACAGCTATTTTGTTTTAGCTACTCTATTGTTTTTGAGGGTTATTAATTAGTGTGGAAATTCTTGGCATTCTGGGAAGTTGTAATTACCTCTGATCATCTCTAGTAGCCATTTGTTCCACCAGGTCTTCTGCTTGGGAGGAACAGAAATGATGTTTACAGCAACTCACAAAATGGTTCACTCGTCAGATGTGGGAAAGACTGGCTGTGTAATTTTTGCTTTAGTGCTTTTCAGTTGTCAGAGCAGAAACTGGATGTTATAAAATGTTAACTGGATTTTGTTTAAAGTGTATTTAGTGATTAATTCTACCATCAACTGTTATGTATAGTAGGCAGGCTAAGAACTATTGCCCTGGTCCTGCTAATGTGTTATTTTTTTCTTCCTCCCACACAGCAAAAACTTGGAGAAAAGCCTATCCCAGGTAAAACTCTAATATTTTCACAAGACTTAAAAAATAGGCTCTATATAAAAATGTCTTCCAGTTGCCATTTAAGCTCCTTGCTGCTGCGAGCTGCTTAGGAATTCTGTCGTTCCTAAACTGAAAAATTTTCACTAAAAAAGAATATGTATTCTACTCTTGCCCTTTCTGTCTGTAAAACTGTATTGCCTGAAGGTCCAAATGCAGGAAATGGTCTTTGAAAGCAGAAGGAGGGAAAATGAGGGAACAGTTTAGTCAGTCCAGCATCTTAGTGATTTGTGAATGGTGCTGTAAGCTCAAGAAAGCATGTGAAGGCTTTGAGTTGATCATAAGCAACCTCAAAACAGGAAAACTGTGAACTGTATTTCTTCAGTCTGGTCTGCTTTTTTACCAGTATTGGTATGAGTTTAATCTTTGGTTATTCTTAAATCTTTGAAATTAATTTTGGCCCTTTGACATCAACTGTGTTTTCAAAGTACTCTGAGTCGTGTTTTAGTAATAAAAATTGGAGGTTTAACTTTCTTTTGCTGTTACTTCTTAAGTGGACCAAATCAAGAAGGAACCAGAACCAGCCCCTGAAGCTGTCAAGCAAGAGGAAAAAGAGACTGCAAAGAATACTCAGCAGAGTGCTGGTGCTAAAGGACCACCGGAAAAACGGATGAGACTCCAGTGAAGGTAGAAGTTGTTGCACATCTGGATTGGTACCGGAAAATGGGATATTCTTGCTCCCCTTTCTTTATATTTAAGCCCTTCCACTGAGACTAATGATTCAGCGCCTGAAGTCCCTGTAAATTCTTTTTCTATAGAACCTTGCCACTCAGATGTTAATGTCAGGTTGTGAGATGCCTCAAAGAAGGTGCTGTCAGTCTCTTCATCTGATTTTTGAATGTTGGCTGCTGAGAATGGTTTTTACATGGACATATTTTGCAGCTTCCTGAAATCTTCACAGGCTCTTGCATCCCTTGTGTCTTGGTTTCCTGTGTAAAAAAACTTTTATATATATTAAAAAAACAATTCTTGGCAAATAAAAATGCTGGTTGCTGGAATGCCTTTCTTAAGTGCTTACTTTGTTAGTAACAAATGTGCTGTATGTGCTAGCAGCTTTTTTTTGCTTGGATTTTGGAATATATTCTGTGCTATTCTGAGGGGAAAAACGTTCAACTAGAGGATTTAGGCTGCCTGCTATAAATTGCTGTGCCTTTAGCGTGCTTGGAATACAGATAAAAGATTTGATAACTGGAGGCTCAAATCCATGGAATTTGATGTCAGACTGCCCTCAGTCTCTAAATATTCCTGGCTGCTCCTTTTACTTAATAGCTAAGCTGGTCTTTTATTGTAAAAGCTAGTAGGCTGTGAGGGATATTTATGATGACATAAAACAGGCTAAAATGTCTTCCTGTTGCTCATTCAGTGACATTGTTTATATTTCTTTTTCCAGTGTAACTCAAATACATGTTATGTCTGTTCCTCTGTACTTCTAGCACTTTCTTGCTGCATCTGCTCTGTGCATACTGCATCTGATCACCGTGATTAGTCATCTGCTTTTTAGACCTGAGGAGGTAGGGCAGTTGAAGAGAAACATCACTGACAGCTATACACTTTGCTGTATAGGATGGGCTTCTGGTCTGATCCCATTTGAGTTAAAGTGCCAACATCTGAGCTATTGAGAGGATAGAAAATGATTTCAATGCATGAAACAATGCATTTGAATACGATAAGCCTCTTCTGGGGAATGACCTTTTCCTGAGAGAATGATACAGTGATAAAGTCATAAAGGATGTTACCAATGGTCAGTTTCTTAGTAGGCGTCCTTCAGTGCTGAATGTTTGCCATATGAGGGGATGAGAGATTGAAATATCTTGTTACTTGCTAACAAGACAGCCCAAATAATTTTATCAGCTAAGTGAGCTTTGTTATTAACTGAAGTGACATGTCAGATATTACTGTTAAATTCCAACTAATTTACTGTCAAAAAGCTATTAAGCAGCTATCTTGTAGTCAGTAATGTTTTTTAAGTGTGTGAGATCCTAAGCCTCTCTGGTATTTATATACTGTCTCTTGGTTTGGAGCCTGAGTTATGAAGTCCAAAGTCCTCCAAAGGACCTTCAGTATTTGTAAATCTTACAGATAAAAGGGAAATAAGTAAGCAGTTCTTCTATTTGTCCTGTGTGTCACTTTCCTTTGCATAAAGGAGATTTGGTTTTGGTTGCACAGGAGAGCTATCTCTACCTTTTGCTCTTACGTAATAACAATTCAGACTTCAAAAGGGCTTTTCTTGGCTTTAATCACAGGGTAGCAGGAGCTAAAAATTACCTAGAACTCTAACAGAAATCTTCTCCTGAGAGCCTGAAAGTGCATATAAATGTGTATACACGTGACCAAGTAAGTATACAGGTGTATATATACACATACAAGCAGAAGTCCAGCCAAACTGTAGGAAGAGCAGCAGTCTGGCTACCTCAATTCACTGTGTAAAGCTAATGGTGTCTCGTATACAGCAGAAATACCATTGTCTTCAAGTTTTCACTGAGTAAGGTCTGACCAGCCTGTGTGTTTTTCCTGCCTGTTCTTTCCTGCTCTCCCCACATACTTTAATAACCTCTTCCTAGCAAAGGAAGTTAGATGCTGTTTGGAGAGTCAGTACACATTGTTTGCCAGAGCAAAGTTAGAGAGTGTAGGCAATGGGAGGGACAAGGCAAAGGGGGAGACATTAGCTTTGTCTTGAGACATGGAGGTTCCCTGTGAGAAAAATGGTGAAGATTTATTACACAAATAGATTGTGTCTTCACTGAACCAACAGATGGCTTCTGAGCAAAAAGCCAGTGTGATACACTCCTTTCCATTTTTGGTATTTTTTTCAGTGTCAAAGCAAATGCTAAGTAGGCATTCAAGATTCAAGTCAGTTTGGGGTTGTTTTATTTTGTTTTCTTGGAGAGGAAGGTGAATTTTTTGGTGAAGAGTTGCTTTGGCCCTGTAATCATGCACAGAACAAATAAATACGTGACAAGTGTTCTTCTGTAGCCTAATGTGGATCATAGATGGATGGGTGATAGAAGAAGTTTTCCTGCTGGCATGGTTTATGATTTATAACTGATTACTCAACAGTAAGGCGGCTTCATTTCTTTCTGCCAGGACAGTGGATTTCAGCCTGCAGTTCACAAGGCTGCTGGGATTTTGTGTCCAGTTCCTAAAAACTTAAGGTGAGAAAAGTAAGCCTCTTGCTGGTAGGGTTCGATTCCATAGAAGCTTGCACCTTCACTGAAAGTTTTAGGGGGCTACAAGACTGAAAAACACTGATGCATCATGAGAATGCCAGTTACCCCTGCCAGACATTTCTGCAGTTGAAGTAGCTATGGATTGCTGCGATACCTTTTTGACTGTAAGGTGAGTCATTTTTCCCTGCTGCCATCTAATGGGAATCCTTCCCTCTCTCCCCTTTAATCTTTACCTTATCACAGTACAAAAGTGCAAGGCTCTGGTTATCTGAACACAACAGTCTATCTCTTTATGTAACCTCAGTGCTGAAGGGCTTGTTGAAGCACTCAATGCAGTGTCACAAACTTAGGCTGACACTTCCCCTCCAAGAATAACCTGACATGAGTTTGACAATGAAACCAGAGTACTCTCTAGTCCTAACTATATATAGTTATGTTCATATTAAAAGAGAAAGTAAGTAGCAGGCAACCTTGGGGGGAGGAGGGATAAGACATACCTCTAGCATGTTGGCAGAGTGATTTAGTAGGGCCTTTTCTATAACTTCAGGAATGAGCATACAGCAGAAGTATGCATTTAAAAATAGCATTCCAGACACTGCACACAAAGATTATGTAACAGCATTTTTCTATGATAGTTATATTTGCTTCAGAAGACATAATCTGATGTAGTTCACAGCTCTGGAATTAAAAACTGGTACTTGAAAAGTAGCAGACAGTTATTCAACAAGTAATTGTTTCTGTAGTTTTAAAATTAAAACCAGACAGTTATTCAACAAGTAATTGTTTCTGTAGTTTTAAAATTAAAACCAGTAACAAATCTAAGGCTTACACAGGTCATGAGTTTGTTCAATTTTAGGTAAAGCAGTAATAAATTTCAAATATACAATTATGAGTATCTAGGAAGTTACTAATAGAAGCAGGCATAATCCTGTTTTCATTCGTTTGATCTGAGGTACTGTATTACAAGGTGTCCACTACTCATGCTGGCCACGCTTGCAATGAATGAGCAAGGTACCAGTTCACAGCATCTGAAACCCTTTTGGTCAGCTGTTGGTAGCCTCCACATTTTCTGGTTAGGTCTGCCATGTGTCCAGCTCAAGGTCCCAGCCTGCTCACAACCCTGGGGCAGGAGGCAGCAGAGGGGGGGTTGTGAGCGCTCTGCCAGCTGCTTCTCTCAGTGCTTGGCCTTCTAAGAGGCAGTGCCTGTCTCAAGCAGCTTACAATGTTAAGTGCTACTGCCTGTACCAGGGTGATTGATGGTCAGCACCCAGAAGCTGGTGCCAAAAGGCAGGATCCCTGAGATGGAGATGGGGTGGTCCTGCACCTGAGAAGGGTAAGGGCTGGACTCATCCCAAACATGGTCTCAGTACTGAAAGTTGTGGAGAGTACCCAAAAGGTAACAGCTGTGGCTATGTTGAATCCCAGCACTATGTGCCTGAAAAACAGTATGCACAGCTGTACCGCACAGGAGATCCTGTCTTAGCGCAATCCAGATCACTGTCTTGTATCTGTGTCTTGATGGAGCTGCTCCCCAAAACATGGATGGCAGCTAAGTGGCAGACATACCAGTAAGCTCTCTTGCCAGTGCTCTGCGAACACTTAACTTTTAGAAAGGCTATGATATGGAAAAATGGCTGCTGCATCAGTGGTAGGCTTTATACTTTAATCCTTCATGCTGTTAGTTTGCCTCTACGTTACTGAGCACAGTGGAATTTAATTCCTCCCTGGTTTTACCTTTCTACTTGGTGTGCATGTGTATGGCAGCAGCAGTTATAGTAAGGTACATGCTAAGAAAATGTGCTAAGGAATTCTATGTCCTAGTAACCAGTTAGGAGACTAGTATTTCTGTACTTTTCCATTTCAGACATTAAGATTGTCCAAATGCACTTTTGAGCTTGAGAAAGAGCCTGTTCCTGATCTCCACTCACAGATTACCCTTTAATAAAAAAAGTGAGCAAAGCAAAAGCTAGCCTTTGAGCTATCAAAACAGGTTTTACTCTGTGGTCTAACATCTTTGACTGGGGGTGTGAAGCTGAGCTGGGGCTGCTCCTTGCTGTATCTGCTCAGAAAGGAGAAACATCCATTAATTTGAAATTTAAGATTACAAAAGCTGTGAACGTGCTTGTGGCAGGCTAACCAACTAATGGGTCTGAGCAGAGAGCACAAGATCACCGGTCTTCCTGCCCCGCAAGAACCTCTGTACATGCTCAAGGAGGAGGAGATGGATGTCCCAAGGTAATGAGATGGCACCCTGCTGCCTGGGGGTACGTTTGCACAGGGAGAAGGCAAAGATTTCCACGGGGAGGAGGCAAAGTGGGCTGTGCCGGTGCTGCTCCTCCCTGCCGAGGAGCAGTTGGAGGCCTCGGGGTGGGTCCCTGGGCGTGGTTCTAGGTTCCATACCCTCACAAAGCAGGGTGTGGGGCAGGGCCGGGCAGCAGTCATGGAGGCACTGCCGATACTGCTGAGGCTGCTGATGCTGCTGGGCCTGGTGGGGTGCCCTCCTGCTCCAGGGGACCTGCCCGGGGGCCTGCGTGTCACCTCCATGTGGAGGACGATGCCGCGGCAGTTGAGTGCTCGGGCTAACACCAACCCCCTGGCTGTCTCCTACTGGCTGGAGGTGGATGGGCAGCCGTGGGTGCTGCGCCTGCAGCCCAGGCGAGGGCTGATTTCCCACCCCTTCACCCTGGTCACCTACGGCAAGGATGGGACACGCTGGGAGGAGCACCCCTTCGTTCATGACACGTGCTTCTACCAGGGAGAGGTGCAGGGGAGACCTGGCTCCATGGTGGCGCTCAGCAACTGTGGCAGGGGTCTCCATGGCATGCTTTGGG